CTGTTACAGTTTTTTACATTGAAGATTTCTTTTTCCTTGTCCCTCCCTGTCCTCTGCGACTTTCATCCATTGCTTCTTCCAAATCTCTACCCCTCAGATTCATTCAGACCTATGCCTGAATCCTGAGTTTTGACTTCTAGCTGAGCCCCAGTCAACGTATCCTTTCCAGTGTCCTGCATCCCTGGAAGATTTCAGCAGTTCTTACTTGGCTCAGCGTGTTCCAGCTTCACTTTGTCCCCCGTGCTGGCCCCATCAGTGACCAACAGGAAGTCTGGTCCGTGCCTTCCGCCTTCTCTCTGTTCCTCTGTGTGCTGGGTGTCTGTGTAGCTGTGGTCTCTGGCCTTCCTGCACCTCCCCAGACCACGGCCTTCTTAGTGTCCACGTGTCACTGTTTCTCACCTTTCATGTTACATATCATCCTAACAGTGGGCCTCAGTACTTTTACTCTTCTGCTTTTCAAGCCACCCATACCCTGGGACCTATTCTGCTGATTTTCCATTACCACCAAACTCCTCTTCAAGTTGGATTGTTGTTCCCTGGGTATGCTCTGCCCCTGTGCACCTCAGCCTCTCCTTACTCACCCTATCAGTGGAAATCTTTTCCCTCGTTACTCTTCTTTTAGCACTATAAATTATTTACTCTTTCCTCTGGCTTTTTACACTCAGGATGTAGTCATGTTCAGTTCTCTTCCAAAGAACCTTTCCTCAGCTTTATCGTCCGTGACTTTCTTTTTCTGAAACTTGATGTCTTAATTTTGTCACTTTCTCTTGAAGTCTTTATTTTTCTTTTGTTTCCAAAAGAAACTGGTTTCTTGAAGGCTGACATATGATCTCCTAATAGCAGTCAGATAAAAGGTGTGATGGTGAAGATAGCTCACCGTAGCCAGCCTGCACCAACCCTTGCTAATAACTCTGTGGCATTTGGTAAGTTAATTATTTCTGTATCTACAAAATGGGAATAATATTAGTACTGTTATGGTTTGGATATCCTGCCAAAGTCTTATGTGCTCATAGGAGCATTTGGGAGATGATTGGATCATGAGGGTGAGATACTCATCAATGGATTAGGCCGCTGATGAATTTATAGCTAAATGTGATGTTGTGAGGTGAAGCCTGGTTGGAGGAGGTGGTCACTGGGGGTGTGGCCTGGAAGGGTGTCTCCTTCCTTCCCTTGCTTGCTCCCTCTCCCCGCTCCCCTCTCCCACTGGAACAATTCTTCTCTGCCATGCCACCCTGCCAACTGTTGAGCCAGCCAACTGTGGACTGGAACCTCTACAAACTGTGAGCCAAAATAAACCTTTCCTTCTTTAAGTTGTGGGTGTCAGGTATTGTGCCACAGCGACAAGGAAGTAACTAAGACAAGCACCTAAATTGGTATATGTAAAGCATGTCTAAGGATGCCTGGCAAGAAGTATATGTTGTGTATTACAATTGTTAAAAATTTTTAGCTGTTATTTTTAAGTGTATCTTGTTGGCTTTTGCAGCATTTTGACTTGATTGACCTCTCCTTCTTTAGTCTGTTAACTTCTTCACTGCATTCAAGCTGAGATTGATTGATCTTGGAATCATTAATCTTTGTGGCTCCTGTTTGTGGTCTGTCTGTGAGGGTCTTTACTTTCTTATCGCCTTTAATTTTTCCTGGTAATTTACCACATTAGTTCCAGCTTTTACTTTTATACAAACGTTTTCCACCATTGTGATTTCTAGCCCCTTTCTTATCTCCAGTCCTACAATTAATATAAATGCATGCCAAATTCCCTAACCAGCATAATCATCCTTCAAAAGAGCTCTCTTTACTTGACTTCTCTTTTGGAAAAAGACCAGGAAATTGTGGCAGTGTGTCACAGCCATTAGAATGGATCTCAGAGAAGGAGGGTTGTTGCGTTGGAGTCCTTCAAAGTTCAGGAAACATTTCTAGGTCCCTGCAGAAAGGCACCTCCTTCTCACCTTACATACTCAACAGTGCTTTCAGTGACCGCAGCTGGATATTGAAAGGGGGACAGTTTTATAGAAGAAGTATTCCTTTATTTTCTTCAGTGGAGGATGAGGCACGTTCTTAAATCTCCTAACAGAAACACTGGTAAGATGCCTAGAAAGTTTTATGAACTATTGACTTTTGAAGAGTCCCCCTGTCTGTGTTGTAGGCCCCACCTACCCATCCACCTGAAAGCATAACCGGTAAATAAATCATATTTGTGCCTCATTATGCAGAGACAAATAGAAAATGAGCTAAATAAAAGAACATACAGCATGGTTTTTAATTAAGTAGTGGTGTTTTTAGTATATTTCTGAGTTGTCTCAAGACCCAAGGGCAAAGCTGAGAAGTATTTTCCTATTTGTTTTCTGAATAGTAGTTTCCTATAAACTGAAATGGGAATTTCAGACAAAGACTTTCTTTTGAAGTTTTGTTAATAAGATATTACATTTTCATAATAATTAGCAAATATTTAGTTGAATATGGTATGATATTTGGGAATCAGACAATCAGAACCATTCTTAAACAATTACAATGTAGTTAAACTCAATGTTATTCCGGAATGCTTTTTTATCTTTAGGGATTAAGTCCATGAGGACCATTAACCTAAGGAATGTAACTCAATTAGCTGTAAGTGATTTTAAATGAACTAAGGTTTTTCCATTTGGAGAGCTTGGTGTCTATAACTTTTAATTTTTTTCTCCATTCATCTAATGAATAGTAAATGAACTCTTGGTAAGTAATTCACTTTTGTGTTACAGGTAGTATTATTAATCTTTTTCTTAACACTTTTGTAACCTATAGCCATAAGTTGTATAGTTTTTTTTTGAAATTATATTTCCAAGACACAGAATTTTTTACATATGCTCTTACCTAACATCTTTCTTAGGCCAGTATCATTTTTGAAGTCTGTTTTTTTTTTTAAACCTTGGCTGAGTTCTAGTCTGTGATAGGCCTTTATGTAGTCTGGTATAGAAATTTACATTGTAGTTAACAAATTTTGTATATAACTTTTGGGTGAAAAAATATCCAAGGTTCTGCCAACCAGTTGGCATTAATAATCTTTTTGATGTCTCTCCTCTTATTTCTGTTGAACTTTAGATCTTGGGTTAGGTAGAATTGTTAATGTTAATTTGGCTTTTATTAGACCTTGTCCACATTTTTGGCTGGCTGTATCTTAATTTTCTTTGTCTCTTTTCTTCATCCTTTTAAATTCCACTCAAGTGCAGAAATATAATACATCTTGTGGTATTGTAACCCAGTATAATAAATTCAAACCTAAACAAGTTAGGTGTAATTATAGTATTGCTTTCTAGAAAACATGTAGTCCCATTTTTTTTTTTTTTGGGTACTGGGGATCGAACTCGGGAACTTGTGCTTGTGAGGCAGGCACCAGAACCACTGAGCTAAATCCCCAGCGCAAAGGGGAAGGGATCAGTGTTGTGTTCCAGTGTGTAGGCTATGAATAGTACAGCCAATTAGGTATAGGTTAGAGTTAGGGAGAATAAAGAAGTTTCTTCTTTTTTTTTTTTTTTTGGTACTGGGGATCGAACTCCGGTCCTTGCACTTGCGCAGCAGGCCGCGGCGAAACCACTGAGCTAAATCCCCGGCCCCACAATCTTTAAGAATGGTGGAGGTAAAGCTTAGGTAAAACTTTTTTTTTTTTTTTAATCCATTGAAGGTGAAACAAAAAAACTATTCTGGTTCTATGCTTTTTTATTTACACTGTACTCATATGTACTTTCAGCAAGTTCAAATTTACATAAAAAATGGGAAAGGAGGTGGTAAATATAAATGTTTCCCTCACCTCTGTGCCATCTTGAGGAGTAGAGCAGGGCCCAGAAAGTTAGTTGCAGTTTTCATTTTTCACTCAGCTGTTACTTTTCGAGTGTTGAGATTGTCCTGAGTGGCAGCTGCTCTTAACATTGCCATTTTGGCTTAGCCGAGAAAAGGAGTGTCTGCCTCATGTATGAATGATTTCTGATTTTCTGGCTTTGTGATTAGAGAATTTCCAGTGGCAGAGGCTTTAGAGAACACCTGGAGCCAAGCTGCCTTTTTAAACCCCGGGAAACTGGGATCCAGTGAGCTGTCCCCAAGCACACATGCACACAGCGTCCCAGCAGAGTGGAAACCCAATCTTCAATCCCCTGCCTGCCCCAGGAGGCTTGGCATAGAGCCCCAGGGGCTTTTGTAGTCTTTGTCAGTTGACCAGTTTCTCTCCTGGGAAGAAAGCAGTGGCCTGTTTTTGAAGTATATAGCGCAAAGAATTAAATTGACCAACCTTTACATGCACATTGATTTTTTTTGGTACCGGGGATCGAACTCCGGTCCTTGCACTTGTGCAGCAGGCGGCGAGACCACTGAGCTAAATCCCTGGCCCATGCACATTGATTTTTGATGTTGCCTATTCTTACCATCCTAGTAGGTAGACTTGTGATGGAAAGGGAATACAAAAGTTCAAGTAATTAACACTTCGAGAGAAATTACCAAATAGATTGTGATTCTAGATTACCCTTTCCCCTCAACACATTGAGAGTTTGTAGGCTCAATTATCAGATCTGTATCCATACTAGATTATGGTGATTTGTGGTATATTTACTTTTAAATAAGGAATCCCTACCTTTATGAAATTTGGGGTTGAGGGAATTAATAAAAAATTAGAGAAAATGATTTTTATAAATATAATCTTGAGAACTTGTGATAAAGTATCTTTTGAAGTGACTAAGTACATACATTTTATAGTAGAAAATCATTTAAGGATAAAGGATTCATTATGATATTTTGGTTTGTTCATTTCGGCTCATCCTATTTGATAGATGGATATTGCAATTTTAATTTTTTCATTTTTATTGTTTTAGAAATGAGTTTATTTTGTAAGTTTTTAAAGTAAGAACTAGTCTTACATTTCTTTTCCTCATCAGCGTAACAATTGAATCAGTTTATTATGCACTTCACTAATTCTGAATTTTATTTTATTAAATAAGAAAAACTTACTGTGTCATGAAATTCTCTTTTTTCTTTTCTAGCCAACACATATCTCTTTATGGTACAAGCCCGAGGTATAATGTTGAGAGAAAATGTGAAGACAATAGGACACATGATCAGACTGTACACCAATAAAAACACAACGCTCAATGGTACAGGTGAGACTGCTTTCTCCTTTGTCTTGATTTGTTTTTGCTTCTTAGAGTCACAGTAAAACAAATCTTTTAAACTCTTGTTTCGCCTCCAAGTAACTCCCTGTTAAAAATGAAGGCATTTTCTACAAAGTGTACTGGTAGATTATTTTATCGTGCAAAACAGGTCTGTCACATATTTTAGGTGATGGGGTTTGGTACAAAATACATAAGTTAAGAGTGCCTTCTACTTTTTCAGTTTCCCTATTGTATTTAAGAGAAATTAACCACAAAATAATAACTTTTTCGGTTTGATGACCTATACTATTGTTTATGCCTATTATTCCTAAAATATTTTTCCAACTATGTGTAGAAAACACTGTTTTTAATTATAAGAAAACAGTGTTTTCAGTTATAGAATTTCTTAATAATCGTATGATTATCTTAAAGGGCTAAAGGAGAAATTTTATAAAACCCGAATTTGGTAGCTGCTCTTTTCTTCTTAGAATGTTTAGAAGTAGAATCTCCATTAAATTCTCATAAGGTTACAGTCCAATAGGCCATGCTATGGGTTTAACGATAGTGAAATGGTGGAAATGGGTTTAATGTGGAAGAATGCTACTGCTTCTCCATGGCGATGTTCCTGCAGTGTCTCCCAAAGGATTATGGGTGCAGTGGGATTGTCAGTTCCTGTACCGTCTATACAGTATCACCCTTTTAAAAAATTAATTTTATTGGTACACTTTTGATATATATAATGATCACATTTATTGTAAGGAATTTGTACCTGTACATAATATATCTTGCTTCAATTTTTCCCCATTTCCCTCACCTCCCTTCAACCCTTCTTTCCCTCGTTATATACAAAAGCTTTGTTTCCATTTCTTTCCCTCTGTTTTCTTTTTTTCCACTTCCTTTCCTTCCCTTCCCCCTCTGCCTTGTTCCCCTTCCCATTTGAACATTTTCTTCCTGCTTCCCAATATCTATCATCCATTTGATCTTTATTTACCCTTTTGGTTTCTCACACAAGACAAGTAGTGCGATATTTAAACACATGTGTGATTTATTTCACTTAAAAGTATGGCCTCCAGATGCATCCATTTACCTAAAAAAGTCTCAAGTTTATCCTTAAGGTAGAGTAGTACTACGTTGTGTATAAAAATCACATTTTCTTTATCCATTCATCTGTTGATGGCCAACTGGGCTGTTTCCAAGATGTAGCTATTACAAACTGTGCCGCTCTAAACATGAGTGTGGATATATCGCTGTGATATGATGCTTTTAACTCTTTCAGGAATATGTTTACCAAGAAGGGAAATAGCTGGGTCAAATGGAACCTCTAGTTTTGGGAATCTCCATACTGATTTCCACATTAATTGTACCAATTTACACTCCCACCAGCAGTGGAGAAGGGTTCCTTTTCCCCCACAGCTTTACCAGTATTTGTTATTGGTTGATTTCTTGATAATAGCCATTCTTTCTGGAGTCAGTGGCATCTCAGTGTTGTTTTAATTTGCGTTTTTTGAACAACCAGGAATGTTGAACATTTTTCCATTTATTTACTTGCTGATTGTATTTCATTTCCTCATCTGAGAAGTATTTATTCATTTCAGATGCCCATTTTTGGATTGGGCTTTTGAATTTGGAGGGTCTGATTTTCTTGAGTTCTTTATATATTCAAGTTATTAGTCCTCCGTCTGAAATGTAGCTCGGAAAAGTTTTTTCTCACACTGTATGTTGTCTATTCACTCTGTTGGTGTTTTTTGTTTTTTGCTGTGCAAAAGCTTTTTAATATAATGTGACCCCAGTTGTTGGTTCTTTGTAGTATTTCCTGTGTGATTGGGGTTTTGTTCATAAAATCTTTACCTAACACCTGTCTTCAAGAGTTTTACCTATTAAGTCTTGCAGCAGAATGTTTGTTTTTATATTTAGATATTTGATTCATTTCTGTTTTAGTTTAGTGTATGGTGAGAGACAATGGAACTAGGTTTAATCTGCAGCATGTGGAAAGTCCATTTTCCCAGCATTGTATATTAAAGAGGGTGTTTTTCTTCCAGTGAAGGTATTTAGTTCCTTTATCAAAGATAAAGTGGCTGAGTGTGTTTGAAGGTGTTTCTGCACCGTCTGTTATGTTCCATTGATCCTAAAGTCTGTGTTTTTGCCAGTACCATACTTTCTAAATCATGGTAGTTTTGTATTATAATTTGAAGTCAGGAATTGTGATGCTTCCTGCCTTGCATTTATTGCTCAGAATTGCTTTCCCCTTTTTTTGGCACAGGAGATTGAACACGGGACATTGCGCTTTCAAGGCAGGTGGCAGCACCACTGAGCTAAATCCCCAGCCCTGCTTTTGCTATTCTAGGTCTGTTCTTATTCCAAATGAATTTTAGGATTGTTTTCTCTAGTTCTGTGAGGTATACTATTAGTATTTTGATTAAGATTGCATTAAATCTGTATAACAGTTTTGGAAGTATGGCCATTTTCACTGGTTCTTCCTATCTAAGAACAAGGGATAGCTTTCCATTTTCTGATATCCTTTTCGATATCTTTTTTCAGAGTACTATCATTTTCAATGCAGAGGTCTTTAACTTCCTTTGTTAGATTGATATTGTTTCCTGAGTATTTCATTTTTCTTAATGCTGTTGTGAAAGGTGTTATTTCCCTAATTTCTCTGTCAGTGAGTTTGTCATTTGTGTACAGGAATGGTATAGAGTTTTGAGCATTGTCTTTGTAGCCTGCTATAGTACTGAATTTGGTTATTAAATCTAGGAGTCTTTTGGTGGAGGTCTTGAGATCTTCTATGTGGAGTATTCTGTTGTCTGCAAAAAATGATAATTTAACTTCTTCCCTTTCTATCTTTATTCCTTTTATTTCTTTCTTTGTTTTTTCCTTTGGTGTACTGGAGGTCGACCTCGAGACCTTATGCTTGCAAGGCAGGCAGTGGCACCACTGAGCTAAACCCCCGGCACTCCTTTTCTTTCTTTCTCTTGTCTAATCGTTCTGGCTAATAGGAGTGGTGATAGTGGACATCCTTGTCTTGTTCTTGATTTTAGAGTGAAAGCTTTCAGTTTTTGTCCATTTAGTATGGTGTTGGCTGTTGATTTGTCATAGATGGCTTTTAACAGATTGAGATAAAGACCTTCTATTCCAATTTTCTGTAGGGTTTTTTATCATGGCCATATTAGGTGTCCTTAGCCCGAATGTGAAGGCCACAGAGGAGACAGACCTGCGCCTTTTCATCTTGTCCAGGTCAGCCCATCAGACATCTGCAGGCCCAAGTGAAGAGCCTGTGCTTGTAGTAAAAGTGACCTTCAAGTCCCTAAAAGAAACCAGAACCCAGGTAGCTGTGATGGTCACAAGCCATAGTGATTTTTTTTCTGCATTGGTGCTTGTAAATTGCTTATGGTAGGTAGCTTTATTGCTAGTTTTGAGATCTCCTTAGGAAATGACTACTTTTCAGATATGTCCTCTAGGTGTAGCTGGCTTTGGAGTCTGTCCCAAGATCCTACCTCTTCAATTTATTAGGGATTAGAAGTTGTTGACTATTTATCCTAGCACCCAGTTCTTTGGTACTGGACTATGGTATTGTTTATGACCCCAAGACAATCTCAGTATTGGCATACAAGGGAGAACAACTGATCACAAGTATGTCACCTTGGCTGAAGTAGTACAATTAATGATAACAATAGCATCAAGCACTGTCTAGAAAGTTGACAATCTGTGATAACTGTTAATTTGCTACCTTTAGGTATAGTACAAGATTTATAGTTATATAACAAAATCAAGACAAATCAGAAAACTATATACAGTAAATATCCCCTCAGTAGAGCAATTTTAGCCTCAGGGGAGGAAATTTAAAAGGGATAAGAGGAAAAAATAAAAGAAGAGAAAGTGATTAGAAGGAGGGCTGAAGGACAAAGGAAGATTACCCAAGGTTTGGGAAACTGCCAGGGAAGACAGGAGGGAAAGAAAGAAGGAAAAAACAAAAATAAGAACTAAACAAAGAGAACTAAAAGCAGTGTTCCCACTCATGAAAAACAAAATCATAAAGCAAAAAACAAATAAAAAAAAAAAGAGAATTCTCTGTGATTTGAAACCTGTGGTTATCTTCTGGGGTCTACAGTTAGTTTGGTGGTAGTGTCTAATTCAGGTTGTGACTCTGTCATTGGTAGGCAAGGGAGGCAGACAGAGCCCAGATCCATGCTGGATGATCCCAGCAATCCTGCAGTAGGGTTAGGGTAGGGTGCAGATTCTGGTGCTTTCAACTCCACAGAAGTTCAGCCTGATCCTGGCCTCTGGTTGTGGGGTTGGGGTCTGAGTTGTTCAGCCTACAACACTCCGGGTATCTTTTGCTGGCCTGACCATTGTGCTCTGACCCTGGATGTCTCCTGTGGTTGTGCCTCACCCAGTCACTGGGAGCCCTGAGATGAAGCCAAGCCACAGCTAGTCTGAGTCCTGGGTTCAGTTGGGCCCTCCCTGAAGTGGTGTCTAGGCCAGCATCCTCCAGGGGATGCTTGAACTGGAGACCTGCACCAGGTGTTTGTAGCTCACAGCATCCTCTGCTCTGTTCACTGGTTCATTGCTGGAGGCTGCTGGAGTCATCTGCCCTCACTGTGACTCTGTAGGTTTGAGCCTTGTGTCTCACGCTTCAAGCTGGGAGTCAGGGAGAAAGTGCAGTTTGCCACCTGGATTTTCTGCGATGAGGTCTGTCTCTTCACTTTGCAAACTCTAGTTCCCCTTCATATCCTTTCTGCGTCCCAGGGATCCACCTTCTTTCTTTTTTTTCTCCAAGTTGCTATATTCCAGTGTCTGGATTCCAAATGTGAGAGAGGCTGATTTGTTGCTGTTCATCGCTCCACCATTTTTCTGGAAGTTCCAGCATTGTCATTTTAAACAGTTAAAAGATCTGTGACATTTCTTTGTGTCACTGTAAACCTGTACTCACAATCTCCTTCTGTTCCCTGCCTCCTAGTTGTATTTTTTTCTTAAATATACGTTAAGATATGTAGTAGTCTTAGGCCCTTCTA